TGTGCAGTAGTTTGAATATTATCTGGAAGTGTTGCTACAGAACATATGGGAACATAAAAACAGCATCTGCCTACGAACTACACAATTATTAAAAATGGCATGTTTCCTGTCATAAATCATAGACAGTGACGTGTTCTGGGTAAACATTTCTTATTTGTGATATAAGATTAATTTCATTTTCTTCCTATTCTTAAATAGGTTCAGTGCAGAGTAAATTGTGAATTCAAATTGAATTGCTCTAATTGTGCAGGATGGAACAAAACAAAGAACAAAATGGACATAAGACAAATGAGTTATAAGAAGGGGAATCTGTGTGGATTGTTCCAACTAAATACAAAAGGAAAATGAAGTAGAAAAGAGTAAGCAACTTGAAAGAGAAATGCAGAATTGCAGGGATGAAGGACAATGAAAGATGACAAGCATTTGTAAAGGATTTAAAATAACCAACAGTTTAATATTTGCAGTCAGTAAATTCAGATTGATACTTTGGCTGGCATAAAAAATCAGTTTTCTTAATTTAGTTTTGATATGCACATATTGATCAATTACTATCTTGCAAAAGACGTTATTAAGAGACCATCTAAACTTTATTCAAAGTAGAATTAATTATACCCAAGAGAGTCTTGAGAAATCTTTGTCTAAACTTTGTTTTCTGACTATCTATTTGCCAACTTCTTCTAATGGATGGACGTTATTTCCAGAAATCATTTGCCCAATCTTGTTCATTTCTTGCTTTTCCTGTTTCTTTATAACAGCTTGCTTTCATGCAAGGAAATTCCTTATCCTTATTAACATTAGCTTTGCCTTTTGCAGTTGGGCAGCCTTCTTCTGAAACTGTAGTAATTGATATGCATTGCCCAAAAGAATTCAGAAGAAGAGCAGTTTCATTGTCAAACAAATATCCCAGTAAAGATCCTTTTATTTGGCTATGACTTTTATAACCAAAAGAAGGTATTTTACATATGCAACACAATATGGCTAACAATTGCCAATATTTAATATATGGCAGACAGGACAAAAATACTTTAAATTGCTTTGATATACAGGTTTTTTTTGTACTTTTAAAAATATTCTTATTTGTCTTGGAGTCATTCCACACACAAATTTTTATACTTTTTGGCATTGATTTTGCATGATTCCCATACTATACTCATCTTGGGCAGCCAAATTTATTCTTTTCCTAGGTTAAATTGCAAAAACGTCTACTTACGATTTACAGTACTAAAGCTCTGGAGAGCTTTGAGCCAAGCCATTTCCCCAATTCTAAAAATTGCTTCACCCACCATTCCCTTGCTTGAATTTGAAGATTTCTAGTATGTTTCAGAGGTAACTTTATCAGTGAACCGATCTTACACTTTTTCACACAATTGCCTACATGATTTTGTTTTGCTGATTGTCAGTATATAGCAAAATCTTGTGTTACCCCACCTCTGTTTCTAGGATTGGATTGTTCTCTGAGGAAAGAATGCCTGCAAAGTAATAAAGTTATGCTACATCAGAACTTTCAGTGAGAATTGATATGCAGAAGGAATGATATCTTGAGGGCCATTGAAGGTCTGAGTAAAATTTTCCTCCAAACAGCCAAATACATTCAATATGGACTGAATATGCAGAAGACCGGTAATTTATTTCTCCTTTTTGTGTGAAGTAGATCCTGAGAGGACTTTTGCTTCAGGAGATGGGGCACTAACTCTAATGAATCTGCACTCTCCTGTTGGTTGGCTGGAGAGAGCATTGATTCTTTTTGTATTTGCAGCATTCTGAGGGTGGCAGATATGATGGATTCCACATAGAGCATTAACATATTTTGGAAAAATTTGCAAGTAGAGAAACAGTAGTGTGGATTTTTTTGTTTTTAATGGCAGTTGGTATTTCAGAATTATGGAACATAGAAAAGATTTTTCTTTTTCTTTTAGATTGAAATGTCTTCCGCTTCAATGATACAGGGCTAAAATGATTTAAACGGTTATGTAGTTGGAGTAATAGCTTGTTTGCATGAGTAAAGACAACATTATCTTTAAGAAGACCTGGACCTGCTCATTTCCCACTGGTGTCTTCTCTGCATGCATGTATAAACTTGTATTAAATAATGCAAATTGGATATGTGCTAACTAGTTTAATAATTGCTCTCTAATTAATGGAGCCCAGCATTAATTTACTTTGCAAACAGAACAATCAATTTAATGTTGCTGTTCATAGGAAAATTATGCATACATAAAATCCTAAGAGGTAATATTGAATACTGAATTAATATCTAAATTACACTATAAATTTATTGAATCTAATTTATTATTAATCATAGCTTTAACAATGAATTTTATATTGTAATGAATAATTCTGAGCCATTCTGCTTTATATTCAGGAAAAGATAATATGAAAAAAATTATAGATGTTATTGATTAATTTTCCTAACTCTTACTTTTGATTATATAATCTTTCCTCATTAATAAAACTGTCAGTTGCCCATAGTGCATCAAAAATGAGTGCATTTTCCTGTTTTTCCCTCTAAAATATATTTTAAAAATATAATTTTCAGTCAGAATGCTGATTTTTGTGCACTGTAAAAATTTGCCAAATTCTTATTTTTTAAAAAATAATATGTTAGGGGTTGTGAAGTAAAGATTTTCTTTATTATTGACAAACTCTTCTTTCTTTATCTCTGACCTATTGTGGATTTGGGTTACACAAAATTGAATGGGAACGTATATTCTCATGTGCATGAAATGTATAAAAATGAGTTGAGCTATATGGGCACATCCATATGGTTTCATAGAAACAATACCTGTACTGAGGTTATTGCTGTTACATTCTTCCAGGGTATTCATCTTCATATTCTGCCCTAAGCAATCCAAATGTTTATCACAGATAATTAAACAATAGAGCAAACATTTTAGCACAAACACTGGCACAACATGAGGAGTCAAGCAAGATGCAGCTTCTTCCCTTTAGAGGGGACAACAATAGAGTTTCAAGTCCGCTCAGTATTTTATTACATAATATGACACTATTTTTGTCTATATAATAGCAACAATTTTTATTTAGTATTATAGTGCATTTTTTATAATAATATGGACTTAATTGGTCAAATTGTAGTATAAGAGAATGCATTCCTTCCCCCTAAATATTATATCTTTTTAAACAGGTTACCATTATCTCTTATCTAAAAGTAAATTATACAGTTTATTGCTTTTCTCATATTGGTATATTTTAAATCTTTGACTTTAGGAGAGCAACATGGAGAGGAGAAAATTGAGAAGAGAAATTTGGGGAAAAGTAAATTGACTGTACAACATAAATGTAGTCCTTGACTTATGACCACAATTGAGCCCAACATTTCCATTGCTAAGCAAGACAGTTGTTAAGTAAGTCATGCCCCATTTTACAAGTTTTTTTGTCATGATTGTTAAGCAAAATATTGCAGTTAAGTCAATATTAAGTGAATTTGACTTCCCCCCATTGACTTTGCTTGTCAGAAGCCAATTGGGAAGGTCACAAATGGTGACCACATAAACCTGGGACACTGCAAGTGTCATATGCCAAGCGTGTGAATTTTGATCATGTGACAATAGGCATGCTGCAACGGTCATAAATGTGAGAACTGGACATAAATTACTTTTTCAGTGCCATTGTAGCTTCAAACAGTCACTAAATGAATGATAATAAGTCAAGGACTACCTGTACTTGGATTCTGTCATTGATCTGCATACTATTAGACCACATTTAATTCTATTCCTAATTTCTGGGCATGGTCTCCAGATTTATTGCTGCTGGTGATATTTTTCTTCTCTCCTTTAATTGATTATAAACACTTATCAGTTCAGAGTCTGTTAATTTTTCAAGTTATGAAATTTCTATTGAAAACTACAATGTGTTATAATGTTTTCTTACAAGCTGTTTTCTGTTGTTTGAATGTAACATTTCTGTATTATTTATTACTATCCTGTGTTCACCATGTTCATCTTGAAACTGAACTCTTTCAAAACATTCATTCTTGAGTAGTTTGAATGATATTGTACCATGCAAGATTTTCTTTATTGAATAATATTGTATAATATGTTACTATAACACATTTTCCAGCAGAAATATGATTTATAGATTTGTTTTTCTGTTTTCCTCAAATTTTGGATATAATTGTCCAGTTATATTTGGAATTTTGGAATTTGGATTTTTTTCCAGAAATAACTTGGTAACTTTCATTGCATGCTCTTTAGACTGATAACCATATAATTACAGGATCATAGAACTAGATATCAGTTAAATAGTCTAGAATAAGGAAGTAATATTTCATGTGAACAGATCAATCCCAGCTTGTTTTCCTGACTTGTTAAGTGCACTGAACATTCAAGTTTTTTGGGTATGTACCCAAGTCAAATAATAAATTCCTTTTACGTCAGTTTGAATGTTCTTTAGCTGAATGAATTTTCTTTAGCTGAATGACTGAAATTATAGTCTGTTTTCTTATGAATTCAAGTATATCTTTGATTTTTAGTTAAATATCTAGAATATTTTCCCATTATTCTTGAGCTTTACTCTAGATTGATTGATTGAATATGCATCATGAAGTTGATTTTGACTATGTGGTCACTAGAAGTCAAAAATGACTTGATGATAGATACTCAAGAGGTAACTTCATTTTATCATTCCAAGAAATTATCATTCTATTTTATATCCTATATTTTTTCAACTTCTCTTCTTTTGTGAAAATGATCCTAATAATCCCAAGTACTTATTTATCCAGGTACTAACTTCAAAACTCTGTTGTTACTACTTTGCCTTTCTGACACGGAACATTTTTCAACCTGCTTGCCTTTGTCTCAGTATGTATCTTGGATTTTTCTTGGGATTTTTTTCCCACCTGTTTTCCCATAAGCATATGTTCTTAAGTATAAATATATACTGCACTTAAACATTATGGATAATAATCTGGTCATAGTTCGCTATGCATATTTTTATAAAAGGTTCTTAATTGATTTATTATTTTTGAAACATTTATTTTTCAGGTTTTAAAAATAAGCTTGCTTGGCCACAGAAAACGCATTTTGGCCTCATTGGGAGACAGACTTCACGAAGATCCACCTCAGAAACCACCACGTTCTATCACCCTCAGGGTAGGTTCCACCAAATCCTTGTAACATCTGAAGCATACATTGTACATCTTCCAACACAGATATTATTTAATAACTAAATCTACCACTATACAATTATTACATTTGTAAATTTCTATAAGGGTGCTTGAGCTTTGTGAGATGAGGAGGAAAAATATCAGAATTTGCGCTATTAATTTTATTGCGTCCTCATATTTAGCTACTAGAATGCTATATACTGGTAGTCCTTGACTTATGACCACATTTGGGACTGGTATTTCAGTCACAAGTCAAAACACCACATGACTTGACCCAATTTTTCAACTCTTTTTATGTCACTCATTGAGCAAATCATGCTAACTGAATCATGCAGTCATAAATCTGAATCCCACTTTAATGAATGTTTTTTTTTTTCTGGAAACAGGCAAAAAATAATGAAAAACAGCAAAAAACCTCTAGAAACCAGCCAAAAAGATTCACAAAATTCAAGTTTTACTATTTTTATTTATTTTTTTATTTAAATAGTCACCAATTGTAAAACTTTGGGTGACTCACAACAACAGTAGAAACAAGACAAAAAAAATATGGAAACAATAAAACCAAAATCTGGTGCCTCAGCAATCCTTGTCCGACCTATCTGTCCCCAAACCAAACCTGGGCTCCAACCTGACCCTATCCCAGTGCTTGGAGAAGAGCCAGCTCTTTTCCAGTTTATTTGTGAGGTGGTCTCACAAATAAACTGGCCCCATGCCATATAGAGTTTTTAAAGTATTAACTAGCACCTTGACTTGCATTAGGAAAGGTACAAGATGACAGTATAGCTCACACAAGGGTGGTAGAAGATGGGTAAATCAAGGGACACCGAACACTGCTTTCTCCAGCATGATGAATGTAGAATCCACTGGTGGGTAATCTCAGCCTTCCTGCTCAGATGAGACTAAGTCAGAACTTTAGCCATGCCTCCCTCTGGGTGTGTCTTCCCAGTTATTGACTTAGTCTCAGCTCAGTAGGGTGCAACTTTTTGGCTCCTCAGTTAGACTAGGTTAATTAATTGATTGATTGATTCTCTAATTGGAATTTATTTTATTCAAAGTCTCTAAATTGAAGTGCTTTATTCTTTATTCAAAAATTGGACTCAAATTGACAAAATCTTGGCATTGGGAAATTACTCAGGCCTTTTTTTGACTTCGAGCCTAACAGGCTCCTACAAAAAAAAACAACAGGCCAATTTAGCGTGGGGCTTTTAGCTCCGATCGAGCTGATCAGCGGGAGCGCGGATCAGCGGGACAGCTGGCTTGTGGCGAACAGGAGTTCCTCGGAGCTTGGGCAAACCAGAGGGCTTCCCTTTCCATTTCCAGGCAACGCCACGAGGTTCCCTCGGAAGCAAGCTATTCGGATCGCAGTGGAGGCTGTGCGACAAACTGCAAGTGCCTCTTTGTGAACGGGGGGAAGAGGGCTTTGTTTAGCTTGCCTGATTATCAAAGCTTTTCCCTAGCAGGGGAAATTGTTGCCTTCTCTTCCCCATTTTTCGGCGCGGTCGCCATTTTGAAGAGGCACTGAACAGACATGGTCGCCATTTTGAACATGTGTACTGGCCGTGGCCACTATTTTGAGTACGGATTCGGCACGGACGTCATTTTGTATGGACCTTGTGTTCCTCTGAACTATATTGAGGCCTGTTTTTACTTTGCCTTGGCCTGCTTTGTGAGGCCTTTACCGGGGGAAGTATTTCAGTGTGTTATCAGGAGAATCACATGAGTGGTGGCTTTATTGCTTGGTATTATTGTTCTAACTACTCATTGAGGTTCAGATACATATCCTTCATTGCTTGTGTGAGTTGAGCGAAGGGGAATTTATTTTAGATCCACCTGTTCCAATTAGTTTGTGGCACTCTGCCACAAGGCCTAGACGGTCGGTTTTCCTCCCTAGTGACGGGACAGCACGTCCTGATTCTGACAGACAACATGGCAGCCAAGGCTCACATCAACAAACAGGGAGGGACTCAGTCCTGGTCACTCATGCAGGACGCCTTGGATCTAGGTCTGTGGGCAGAGTCCACTCTGGGTTCCATCAGGGCAGAACACATATTGGGGGAGGCAAATTGGCAAGCAGATTTCCTGAGCAGGATCACAGTAGACCACTTGGAGTGGCACCTGGACCCGGCACTGTTCAGGGAAATCTCTATCAGGTTTGGTCATTCATATCTGGATCTCTTTGCCTCCTCGATGAACACACAACTCCCCAGGTTCTTCAGCAGGTTCCCGAAATGGGGAGCGGAGGGAACGGATGCCCTCCGGTGCCAGTGGCCGGGGGGGCTGCTTTATGCCTTTCCTCCCCTCCCGTTGTTACAGGCAACCATCCGCAAACTGATTCAGGAAAGGGCAGAGATAATCTTAATTGCTCCACATTGGCCAAGACGTCCGTGGTTTGCCGACCTTGTGGATCTCTCGCTCTCGCCACTGTGGAGGATTCCCCCGGACTGAGTGGCTCTCAGCCAAGGGAATCTTCAACATCCAGATCCACAGTGGCTCCAATTGGCTGCCTGGCACTTGAGCGGGAAAGTTTAGCTAGGCAATCCTATTTGTCTGGGGTGATCTCGATGATTCAAGCCTCAAAGCGCCCCTCGACTAATAGGATTTATGACGCCATGTGGAGGAACTTCTGCATGAGGTGCACTAGGCAACAGCTCAGACCACTATCGGTCACCATTCCTAACATATTGGAATACCTGCTGGAAGGTATCAATAAGGGTTTATCACCTAGTACCATCCGCAGGCAGGTCGCGGCCTTGTCAACGGTCCTTACTTGTGACAACTTGGTTCCTTTATCGCAACATCTGACAGTTAATGCTTTTCTGAAGGGGGCGGTTAATGCTAGACCACCCATGGTGCATCGTTATCCATCTTGGGACCTGCCTAAGGTGTTACAGGCTTTAACCTCTCCTCCGTTCGAACCTCTCAGGTCTTGTTCTCTTCAATTTTTGTCTTTGAAAATGGCATTCTTAGTTGCTATCACATCAGCTAGGCGGATTTCGGAATTGGCCGCACTCTCAGTCAGGAGTGATTTGTGCTTTTTCGAGGATAGGGTGGTCCTCATATTGGACCCTTCCTTCATTCCAAAGGTCAATACCTGGTTTCACAGGTCCCAAGATCTGGTTTTTCCAAATTTTTGTCCTAATCCATCACATCGTCTGGAACGGCAGTGGCATAAATTGGATGTGCACAGGGCTCTGCGCCATTATGTCAAGTGAACATCGGCTTTTCGCAAGTCAGAGACCTTGTTCGTGTCCTTTCAACCCTCCGCCATGGGTCAGAGGGTCTCATCTTCGACCATTGGTAGGTGGATCAGAGCATGCATTGCTCGGGCCTATCTTTCCCAGTCACTTCCAGTTCCTTCACACATCACGGCTCACTCGAAGCGCAGTGCAGCTGCGTCAGCGACCTGGTCCACCCAGGCTTTGATCGAGGAGATCTGTAGGGCAGCGACATGGTCCTCCCCTTCCTCCTTTGTTAGGAATTACAAGATTGATAGGTTTGCAGCGGCGGATGCTGCGTTTGGTAGACGGGTTCTACAGAAAGTTGTTTCTTTTCAAGGGACACAAGCCTAGACTTTTCCCTCCCCGTAGGGACATGAGCGGCTTTGATATGTCCCACCGGTAGATCCTACATTCCTCATGCTGGAGAAGGGGCGTTGTCTTACCTGAACGCCTTTTCTCAGCATGATGATGTAGAATCCACACCCTCCCTTTAAGGCAGTCTAGGCAGGTGTCATGTTTTTTTTTTGTTGGAGCCATTGCGTCAGACTTTGTCATGGATACTTTGCCTCGTCAATAACTGGGACGACACACCCAGAGGGAGGCGTGGCTAAAGTTCTGACTTAGTCTCATCTGAGCAGGAAGGCTGAGATTACCCACCGGTGGATTCTACATCATCATGCTGAGAAAAGGAGTTCAGGTAAGACAACGCCCACATTCTGGACCAGTTATAACTTCTGGATTGTATTCAAGGGCAGTCCCATGTAGAGTACGTTACAATAGTCCAATTGGGAAGTCACTGAGCATTAACATAACTACTTAGAATTTTTTGTGTGCAGTATTAAATATTCAGTTAAAGTCAAGTCTTCTATTTTTTAATTAATACTGTGATCTGTAACCTTATTTAATATCTATGTATTGCCAAGCCATAAAGCATTATTTTCTTATTTCATTAACTGATATTTCATGATTACCCTAATATTTTAATATGATTACGTGGTACAAACTCAGTCTTATTAATGTTTATATAACAACTGTCTGTTATATAAATACAATTTTATTTTTTATGGAGATTGGAAAGAGATTTATTTACTTTTAATTACTATTTCTGTTCAAATAATAAAGAAAGCTACTACAGATTACAGACTACTCTTTCTGCAACGGTTATAACTATGCAAAAAGGTCATAAGTCACTTTTTTCAGTGCAGTTGTAGCTTCAAACAGTCACTAAACAAATAGTTGTAAGTCAAGGACTACCTATATTGGAAGGGTTATTTAGGCATGTCAGGTTTGACCCATGTAGAAAACCAATTTTAAATATCTTCAACAACATATCCAGCCTTCACATGTATTGAGATCTCACTACTTGCCCATAATGACACTGAATCAACTGAGAAATCACTTTCATTGAGAACATTTTAAAACTGTTTATTTCATGCTCCCACTTTCTTTCTTATTTGATGCAGGAACCCAGTGGTAATCACACTCCTCCCCAGTTGTCTCCTTCACTCAGCCAAAGCACTTACACTACTGGTGGTTCCCTGGATATACCACACATTATCATGCAGGGAGATGCAAGGAGAAGAAGAAATGACAGCTATTTTGATGATATTCCTCGGTCAAAACTGGAAAGACAAATGGCACAGGTAAAGTTGGAAAATTCCATGTTCATTAGAAAGGTATTTTTAAACATTTGTTTCTCTAGCATTATCTTTCAGAAATTGGTGTTTGATTTTTCAGCTGAATTTGCCTGTTGTTTTTTATCTTTTTAATTCTTTTCAGACAACTACACTTTCCCCCACCAGTGCTTTATAGAATTCTGTAAACTTACAGTTATTTGTATCTGGGATATGTGAATAAAATGAATGTGTAAAATGAAAACAAAATCTGCTTGCTTTTGAATAATAGAACTACTTTCTGTTGTTCATGATGAAAAACCTATTTCTCCTTTGTCTGAATGATACAGCTAGGGCTAGGCCACAGGTCGGCAACCTGTGGCTCCGGAGCCGCATGCGGCTCTTTGAGCCTTCCTCTGCGGCTCCCAGCCTCCTCTGCCATTTGCAGAGAGAGACAGAGAGCTTCTCTCTCTCTCTCTCTCTCTCTCTCTCTCTCTCTCTCTCTCTGTGTGTGTGTGTGTGTGTAAAAAAGAGAGTAGCCTCACCCTGTTCCGACGAGCTGACAAGCTTATTGGGTGGAGCTCCTCCCTTTGCTGCATCTCTGCAGGAAGCAGGAGGGGCAGGAAAGAGTTAGCTAGCCCAGCTGTGCTGACTCAGGAATTCTGGGAGTTGAAGTCCATGAGTCATAAAAGAGCCGAGGTTGCCTACCCCTGAGCTAGAATGTGTGTCAGCTTGTTGTAGAACAGCTTGAAGCCAGCTTGCCAGGTGAGCAGAAGCTCGGAGAGAGGAAAGGGGAGAAAGAGAGAGGGAGAGAGAAAGAGAGAGAGAAGGGGCGTTGTCTTACCTGAACGCCTTTTCTCAGCATGATGATGGAGAACCCACGAATGGGTTTAGACTGTCTTCCTGCTAATTAGACTAAATCTGACAAAGTAGCCATGCCTCCTGCTGGGGTCTGTGCTTCTCAGACACGACGAAGGTGAAGCTATTGACGATAGTCCTATGTGTTGGTTCCCCTACCCTTAACAGAGGCCTGACAGACCCAAAAAGGGGTGGGTGTGGATTCTCTATCATGTTGAGAAAAGGCGTTCAGGTAAGACAACGCCCCTTCTCCAGCATGAGGATGGAGAATCCACGAATGGGACATACCAAAGCTACCCTGTCCCTATGGGAGGGATTCGGTCTGGGCCTGTGTCCCACTTGTTGGCACCACCTGCTGGAGCACTCTCCGGCCAAATGAGGTACCTGCAGAGGCAAATCTATCCAGCCTGTAGTGTCTCACGAATGGGGAAGGCGAGGACCAGGTCACCGCCCTACAGATATCCCCAATGATGCTTATGAGGCCCACGTTGCTGATGTTGCAGTGCTGTGGGTGGAGTGAGTGGTGATATGTCTTGGGACTGACAGGGAATGTGACTGGTATGCTCTTGCGATGCACACCTCGATCCACCTGCCTATTGTTGAAGACCTTGGAAGTCCCATTGAAGAAGGTTGAAAGGAAATAAAGAGCACTTCCGACTTGCAAAAGGGAAGTTCACTTGAGGTAATGGCGCAACGCTCTTCAAACATCCAAGGTGTGCCATTGGCGCTCTAACACGTGAGATAGTCGAGGGCAAAAATTTGGGAGAATCACCTCCTGTGATCTATGGAACCAGGAATTTACTTTTGGTACGAAGGATGGATCCAGTCTGAGAATCACCCTGTCATTGTGAAAAATGCATAGGTCCTCTCTGACAAAGAGAGCAGCTAGTCCTGAGATGCGTCTGGCCGACGTGATGGCTATGAGGAAAGCTATCTTCATGGTTAAGAACTGTAATGAACATGTCTTGATGGGCTCAAATGGTGGTGAGGTTAGGGCTGCAAGACTCGCGGGAGTTCCCAAGAGGGATAACGGTGAACCATGGGTGCTTGGTGTTAGTGGTGCCCTTGATAAAGGACCGCACCATGGGGTGCTGAGCCTACCCCTGAGCTAGAATGTGTGTCAGCTTATTGGAGAACAGCTTGAAGCCAGCTTGCCAGGTGAGAAGAAGATCGGAGAGAGGAATAGGGAGGGGGAGAAAAAGAGAGGGGGAGAGAAAGAGAGAGAGAGGGAGAGAGAGACTCTTTTGACATCTAAAATGAGATAACACTGCATATATCCTTTTTTACCTTTATACACACACACACACACACACACACACACACCTATAATAAAGATAAAAAAGGATATATGCATTTTAGATATCAAAAGGGTTTTGCAGCTCCCAGTGTTCTGTTTTCGGTGGGAAACTGGTCCAAGTGGCTCTGAGTGTTTTGGGTTGCCTACCCCTGGGCTAGGCTATCTGATAACTGGAAACAAGTCAGAGGCACAACAACATGGTTCATTCAGTAAGCCATATCCTCTTCCATTGCCTTCCCCTCTGGTTTTGCTCTTCCCATTGATATGTCAACACTGCTGTCCCTGAATATTTCACTGACTCATTTTGCTTTGTTTTCATTCTTCTTTTCTTCCTTGAGATAGTGGTAGTTAGTAGTGATGTGTAGTGGTGGTTATCATGATGATTTATTCTGATTCAAACACAATATGTTTCACTCTTCTATGTAGATGATGTAGTTTTTACTACCTAAGGTGAATAGAGGTTATTATAGAATACAGTATTGTTCTTCTCTGTGAAATAATTTTAAAAACAATTTCATAGCAATAAATTCTTATATAAATCATCTAAAATGCTCTAGCCCAAACAGATTTGACAAGCTGTAGAATAAACCTGTTCTTTGCTGCCTACATGACTTGTGTATTCAGGAATGCATGTCACAGAATACTCTACTCATAATAGAGAGATGGATTTCTTTAAATTTGTCTGAGTATACTGTGGTTATCAAGGAAAGGGAAATATTTTCTTGACATAGGAAAAGACTTTCAGACCTCTGAAATACACTAGTACAGCTGAAAATCACTTGACCATATCTCATGAATTTCTTGTGAATTGTTGGAAATTAATGAAGTTCGGAATTTTTGACTGTTGAGGCTGTGTAGGTAACCTGTGATAGCTTTTGTATTTTTAAAAAATCAATATTTTTAAAAAGATGGAAAGTAATTTCTCAATTAGTTTTTCAAATTTAAACTATTTTTTTAATAATTTGGATAAAGAATTTACAATGGACAGCCAAGAGAAATGTAGCCAACTTCAAAAATAAAATCCCATCATCCTAAGGAACTGCTAAGCTTTCATAAGACAGGTTTAGTTAAGAATATTGTGTTTCAGTAAATTTGTTCCTTATCAATTCATCAGCTCTGAAAATCTGTTCAGTTCTGGAATATTTCCATTATTTTTGCATTTACTGTAGTTTTACTATTCAGCTAATTTACAGCTAATTTGTAAAATTCCACCTTTGCTAGGGGAAATGTTTTTTTGATAGAAATATTTTTATAAAATTAGCTTACAATACAATTGGCTTTAACTTCTATTGATATAAGAGAATTAAGAGAACATACAGAAATTAGTATTTTAGAATTAAATTGCAGGGTGCACCATTATCTACACTTTTAGATGGGATTTGTTGAAGGCTTTCTAATATATATATATCATTATTTATATGAAATCGTATAAATAATTAAATATAATTTTAATTATATATAATTAACATATAATATTATATATACCATATATATTATAATTATATATAATTAAATATATAGTTAACATATATATATTTTCTAGTCTTAAACTAGACATGATTAGTCCATTAATGACAGTAAAGCAAACATATACAGTATATGATCAAAAATGTTCAAAATTTCAATCTAAAGGATAGTATACTTGAGTTCCTATCTGCAAAACTGCCTTTAGATTATGTAAATTATTCTCTGGTGGTGCATAGAATGACAGATGTCCTATCACGAATCATATTGTATCCATCCGAAACTATGAACACCTTAAACAAATGTGAAGACAATTGAGGTCACAAAGTTTGATGGTAACTTGACTTGACATCCATTGTTTGTTCAAGTAAACTTTGCTGTGACCCTAACCTTGATTCTGTTGTCTTTCATCTCTCAGTTTTCAAAAGAACAGTTTATTTTCTCCTGCTGAATTGGATTTTCCTTTAACCTACTAGCTGAAAGTACTGGAAGAATCTGTCTCTAGAATATAAGACAGCTTTGAAAACTGCAGAGAAAATACATTATTAAAAATGCTTACTTTAAAAGAACAGCATTTAAAGAGTTTGAATATGATAACCGCCAATGTTTTAATAATTTATTTTTGTAATTAATCATTTTTGACATTAGAATTTCTTGCTATTTGAAGAAATATTGCTCATAAATTGTATAAAATAGAGAGTTTTTTAAAAATGGGTATTGAATATTAATGGATAGATCTGAAAGCATAGTTCAGATTTTAAAAAAGGGCTTTTTAATATTACTTAAGTTTGATATTTTTAAAACTCTGAAAAAAGCTGAAAAAATCTTATGCTAAAACCAGGTATTAGAAAAATCTGAGTAGATGTCTTAAACTTTATGGTCAGACCCACTGCCATTAAAATTTATGTATCATTCAAATCATTCACTATGAAGCGTTCTAAGCTATATAAAAGCTATTTCTATAGGTTTTCCCAAAGCAAAATCAAACTTAAAAAATATGCTGGCTATGGTCTTTTGAATTCCATTTAAAAAAGAAAAAGATTCTAAACCTGAAAAGAGATATTATGTCAATATTTATGGCAAGTAGAAAGGAGTCAGCCAAATTTTCATTCTGTAGTGCGTGTTCAGTGCATTAGAATACAAATAGTAAGGATAAATTCTGCTTTGAAAAATGCATCATTTCATTCCTTGGGGCAAACGTATAGGAATTCAATATTGGTGATGGAATGTAAGCAAGAGGTTAGATTTAGGCAAATGGAGACATTCTTTTGTTCTTTTTAATTCTGTGGAATCATTCCAGTGCCTTGGAATAACAAGAGTAACACAGGTTTTTCAGAATATGAACGCTAACTTTTAGAAATATGGACATGACTTTTAAAGCCCTCCGTTAGAAGTAATTTAAAAATTATTC